CTTCTTTTGATACAGCCCAGGATACAATTTGCTTTCTGGGCTGCAAGTGCACATTGCTGGCTCATGTTGAGCTTCTGCTCCACCATCGCTCCCAAGTCCTTTTCCTCAGGACTGCTCTCATTACATTCTCCGCCCAGCCTGTACTTGTGCTTGGAATTGCCCCAACCCACGTGCAGGACCTTGCACTTGGCCTTGTTGAACTTCAAGAGGTTCTCACAGGCCCACCTCTCAAGCCTGTCAAGGTCCCTCTGGATGGCATCCCTTCCCTCCAGCGTGTCCACAACACCACATAACTTGGTGTCATCTGCAAACTTGCTGAGGGTGCACTTGATCCCACTGTCCATGTCTCCAACAAAGATGTTAAATAGCACTGGCCCCAGTACTGACCCCTGAGAAACACCACTCGTCACTGGCCTCCACTTGGACATTGAACCGTTGACCACAACTCTTTGAGTGCGACCATCCAGACAGTTCCTTATCCACCGAGTGGTCCATCCATCAAAACCATGTCTTTCCAGTTTAGAGACAAGGATGTTGTGTGGGACAGTATCAAATGCTTTGGATAAGTCCAGGTAGACGATGTCAGTTGCTCTTCCCCTATCCATCAATGCTGTAACCTCATCATAGAAGGCCACCAAATTAGTCAGGCAGGATTTGCCCTTAGTGAAGCCATGTTGCCTGTCACCAATCACCTCCTTATTTTCTATCTGCCTTAGGATAGTCGTCAGGAGGATCTGCTCCATGATCTTGCCGTGCACAGAGGTGAGACTGACTGGCCTGTAGTTCCCTGGGTCTTCTTTTTTCCCCTTTTTAAAGATGGGGGCTATGTTTCCCCTTTTCCAGTCATTGGGGAAACTCATTATGATTCTGAGTTCTTTATATTTCATCTTAATGACTACTTACTGATTCGGGAGCAAGGCTGTAAAGGCATAATATAAGTCTCCCTTTCATGTTAATACCTCCTTTGATTCTTTTAGTCCCAGTGGGCACGGAAAAATCTGCCATCTGCAATTCATTAGACTGCCCTTGTGGCCCGCTGCTTCAAGGAATCTTGCCTACATCTCACGGACAGTTTTTTTTCCACAAATGTTCTTGCACCTGAAAGTCCTCAATAGGACCAGGAAAAATCATTATTTTGCTAGTTATCCTGTAAACGTGCAAGACTGGATTTCCTGTGATTCTAATAGTTTAATAGAGAAGTTCTTTTTAGAAACATTGCAGATTTGCAACAATTGCACTATACCAAACCACTTTACTAACTAAACATCTTAAAGCATGAATCTCCACTTCCACATTCTGGATCCTATTTGAAAAGTTGCAAATATTCTCCACACGAAATACAGCATAACTTAGAAACTACACAAGGGAATTACAATCTTAGGAAAAGCATCCTCTATGATGCTAGATGACTAGATGTCAAAACTGAGCTTTTACAAGGAATTTTGTTAACCTACTTATTGATCTTCAAGTAGAAATATTATGTCTCAATATATAACAAATTATAGTGGGGTATTCTGCCTTCTTCTTCAAAATTAATATACTATACTGTAGATAAGGTAAAGGGTTTGGCACAAATGCTTTCTTTCAGACTATCTGTCAAGATTCACCAGCGTCCAGCGAGTCAATCATTCAATGAGGAGTTTCACAGCTAAAAAGTTGCTGAATATTACTTCAGAAAACTTAAGATTAGGGCATCCTATTATTTTGGAATTATGTGAAACATCTTATCCTTCAAGTTGTGTTCCATCTGAAAGTAATTTTTGGGTAGCAGGAATATTCATATAATTGTGAAGTAAGAGAAAAGGCTGTCACAGCAAGCTAAATGCAATTCATTACCTAAAGCACACTCACTTATGATAGAAACAATTTGATTACTTCCCAAACTACATGCTGTGCATCTGGACACAGGTTTTCAGAAAAGAATATATTTACTTTAAGAAGAAAAGGCAAGGAAAATGATAAGGCTCCATTTTTTTTTAAAAAAAAAAAAAAAAGGAAAGAAGAGATAAAGACCACAATAAAAAATGCAGAAAACTAAGACAGCAAAGTGCACTCTGATCCAGTGGATAGTTTTTCCTTTACTCTGCTACTTCGCCATCAACACTCTAACAGCTTGATTTTCTTCACTTGAGCTTTTTAGTTTTCTGGCAATGTTCAAGATTCTTGGGACACATATGAAACTGTTTCAACACCCATTTTCTGGAGAAGACACCAAAACTAGGAAGTACCTAGGATTTTTTTATGTTAGAAGTGCAAAGGTCTGTAAAATTACTTCACTTCAAAGAATTACATTGGTCGTGTAGTTTTTGTATTGGATGAGTACCAACAGAAAGGATAATAGCAAGAGAGTCATCAGATTTCACACGTTAGAAGAAAGATGCAAGCCAGGACTTTTCAGAAACATGGATGATAAAATCGACTGCACTGTTTTTAAGACAGAATAATTAAGTATCAGTGACTATATGACAAAATAATAGTTCACTGTGAAAGCCTGTTCTCTTCTGTAGGTGCTCTTCAGATCTTCATTAAGAACTGACTATTTCCAACAATGTTATGGCCAGGTAAGATCTATTTTCTAATAGGTTGTTCATGTATTGTTCCTAAAAACCCCTTTATCTTCTAAGTTCTAATAGTTTATCTCATAAGTTATATCCTTTGCACTCATAAGCTTATTAATTTATTACATATAATTTGCATTTTATTATTCTTTGTTTGTGGTGTCAAGATTTGCATTCAAATACTTTATAATTTTTCATTGCGGAAGTCTGGTATCTCTACAGTAGGCTCCTTGAACTTTCTCCATTCTCCCATTTATGTTTTTGGATTGAATGCTAAGGCACCACATTTTCGTTTCACAAGATAACTTAATTTTGGACACATATCAAAATACAGTTATGAAAATACAGTTCTTGATACTTCTTGGGTAACACAGGCAAGCAGGAGAGACGGAAAAAAAAAAAGAACAAATATTTCATAAAAAAATTACTGCCATTAAGTCCTTATATTTGTACACAGTTTTCACTATATATATATTCCTCCCACTGTGCTTTCGTATTTTTTTTCTACTCATTGAGACAAACGCATAATATGATTGTCAGCCTTACCCACTACTAGTTTAAACCTATGTAATAGTTGGAGCACAGAAAAAAAAACCATTATATGTAAACTTTCTTCCATGCAATTTTAGAATCTGTGCTAATTCTAATTGCTGAACCTATTTATTCAAAGAAAATTATCCAAAGAAAGCTCCTGACAAAATTCTAGCCAACCACCCTGCTGGACCAAACAATGTTGAGGAAAATTACAACTCTAAAAAATGGATCATTTGGAAAACACCATCAAAATACAGCACTTCCGAATTCCAAACTGTATAGATTTTTCTTTAATGTTTTTCTGTGTTAATGAAAAACAAGCATACTGTAAAGCGTATTATATGATATCATATACTTCAGATATATGATATCATATACTTCAGAAATTCTTTTTTCTTGGGATCTAAATATATCGTTATTATGGTTGTCCACACAACATCTATGACACTGAATTCAAAAATTTATGTAGAAAGATGTAAATGGCAAGTCAAAGTAAAATTATATTCTTCCTTTCCCTCCCTCACTCATCAGAAATAAAAACTTCAAATTGATTGTAATCTCTGGCAGACAGATGCTATATTACTGCTTACCAATAAATTGAAAAAGCAAGAGATTTCTCTAATTTCCACTTTTATGATAGTAAACATTGGCACAGCACTAACTTTCAACAGTTCCAGAATGAATTGCAAAATAGCATGGTATTTTACATGACTCAAAATATTCATTCTTAACCTCTTCCCCTCTCCCCCCATCCCCCAAGTATTTTTACTTTGAAAAATTTAATGATTTAGCAGAATTTGAAAGCAGAAGGCTTAAAAAAGTGATAAAGGGGGTGCAGAAATTAGCAGAGGTGGCACTACCTGAAAGCTCATCAGAAAGGGGAGTGAGAACAATATCAGGCAAGAAGGGTTTGGAAGTATGGATCAGAACAGGAGCACTTTTAGCACTGCGTATATAGGCCGATGGCAGAGCACATTCACCAATGGATCGGCTTCTCATGGCTTTAAAAAGGAAAAGAAAGAAGTGGGGAAGGAAAAAAGAAGAGTGACTATAATGAAAGGCTCGTGTCACAGAAAAAGCAGCAACAGAGAAAACAAAGATAAAAAGGAAGAAAATTCAAAAATTAAAACATTTCAGCACGGCAGATATTGGCAGAGCTGTAAGAAAAAAATCAGTGGACACATAAGACATTTTGAGTTTTTAACTTTTATGTAAAGCAGCAACAATGCCTTTATTATTACGATTACAGAGATTTTGCATTCAAAAATCAAGAAACTAATTAACGCTTTTTTTCCCACTGCATCAGGGGTTGAAAAATCAAAGTTAAAATCACTCCATAAGCACTCATAACTTGGAATTTTTTAACAAAAAAAGCAACTGACACTACATTTGCATTTTTCTAGTTTCCTTTGCTTTACTCCTGAAAAAAGTATCTCTGAATTTTACACACACCCATGCTCTTGAATACAAGATTCTCCAAAAGAGATTCAAAAGCATAATGAGAAAGTGACCAATTCCATGTGGAGAAATTTGCAATACAACTTGTTATAGTCCCACATTAAAAATGAAGTGACTGAAGTGAAATGGTTTGACAACAAAAAGCATTAAATTGTTTCTTATCCATAGGGTCTGGCTTTTAATCGATACTGGGCAAATCTTGCTAAACTGATGCTAATTCACATTTTCAAACCTCATGTCCTGTCAACAATCCTACAGAATGGAAAACTTACTTCAGAATTGTGGCACCAGGATCAAGGTTAGATCTCCAGCTCTTTCAATAGATTTAAAATTCATCTTTATGACATTTGTTTTCCTTTGAGAAAGACATAGCAAAAACCAGTAATATGTTCAATCTCAAAGTATACTTGAAATTCTTCAAAAAGTAACGTTCATTGTTTCAAGTCGCTTCCTTTCCAAAATGTTGCAAATTTGGTAACTTCTTTTAAAATAGTTGCTGATAAAGTTCTTTTAACGAAACTTCAGTGCATCTTACGTAAATATTGTCAGCACAATATTTAATCAGTCTTTGAACTTTTCTATATATATTTTCATAACAACACAGAATATAGACTTGGAATCCTAGTGCTCCTGATCTGTACAGGAATCAGAAGTACGTGAATGGAGTGCAGTGAAAACTGAGCGCATCGCACTTCTAAATCAGGTTAAAGAATTCCCTAACAGCAACATGCAGATAACTTGGGTAGGTCAATGTACATAAAGCAGAAAACACGTTAGACAAATGCAGCACGACTTAAGTGGAGTTTGAAAAAAACAATTCAGAAAGACAGACGTTTTAAGACTGAAGCCATTCTCTATTAAACTTCGTTTACAAGACAGAAACCAGCTTTTAAAAAAAGAAGGCAAGTATGTGTAAGGCTTTAACATCTCTTTGTTTAAGAGATACAATAATAAAATTCAGGATATAGTGACTGTTAGATGCATTACAGTCATCGTTGTGCAACTTAAAATTAATGTCGGCAAGAGAAAAAATGACAAGCTACATAGTAAATCTTAAGGGTCTTTTCCAGTCTAAATGATTCTATGATTCTAAATAAATCAAGCTTTTGAGACTGGATACTGTGTTGATTAAAAACCTTAACATGAAGTGTTCCTTGTAATTTGGCTTGATCTTTTCCACCATATTACATTGATACTAGCAACGTGGGGCAGAACAACCCATTTACAATTTGGAAGGTGGAAATTTTACAGAAACTTCTGAAAGAAAAATTGTCGTGTATTATGAATGAAAGCAAAATTAACTTTGAGATGCTGTAAAAGGAAAATGTGATGTCAGTGAATTGTTATTTTAAATAAGACGTGTCACATTCAATTAAGCAGTTAAGTAGAGGCAGACTTAATACCAGAATGTGGACTAGAAATTTGACATTTATAACCTTCCACTGTTGTCTACAGACAAAAGCAGAACAACAGATTAGTAAATTCTTTCCACTCTGATATTTTTATAGGAGTGGAATCTGCTGCCTAAGCCACAAATTCTGTATCTAGCCCTGTCCAAGATTTTTCAACCCATATGCATATCATGTTTCAAGGCCCTTTTCCGAAAATAACTTTACATAAGTTCAGGCTAAAAATGTACACACCGCATATCAGAAAAGCTGTGATTTTTATTTGAGTAACATACATATACACACAAATTTGGTGCAGCAATAAATATGTGCTGGCATGAGGATGGCTCAAAAAATAGAGGTGCACAGATGTACACAAAATGTGTACAACATAAAATAGATGAAAAAGAAACCCTAGCTTTTTCTTACCATAAAACACTCAACATGCACATCCCCCCTACTCAGATATAAAGACCATATTACTCACAATCAAAGGAAATATACTACATATCCGATATCATGCAACATATCTGAGGTCTGACTCAATTCCAGACTGAGCTTGTGGAGCTAATGTTAAACTGAAGGAAAAGATCTGACCAGCAAAACTTTCTATAGAAAATTTTACTCATTGTGACTATAAACCATTTTTTTTATTATGTGACCCTGCGTTAACTGGCACAGATTAAGAAGTATCCAAACAGCTCTTAGCAGACCTGAGAGACAACAATAAGCAACTGTTTGCAGACAGTTAAGACTTATGATTTTGTCACATATAACATTTTAAAAAACTGAACAATCTGAGACTCTGGCTCTGGCAACTCTTTTTGGGCTTTGCGTCTTTTAAAATCATACTAATGCTGTGATGCTTGTTCACAGATGGTATTCTACAATATGAATGGAGCTGAAATTTTAACTGGTTACAGTAATACAAACTTGGCTTATTAATATCAAATATGTAAGACAATTGGAGGACAGGAACAAAACCATGGAAGCTAAAGTACAGTGAAACTAAAATCAGATTAGTTTGCTGCTAACCAGGTCAATATATAGCTTCATTAGGATAAATTTCAGTCATTCTAGGGCTAACACAATACAAATAGCCATCTTTCAAATAGCAGCAAAACAAAACCATTAATAAGTTGACCAAACAACATAACCCTTTGACAAAATATCTGAAATATTAACAATTTGGGAAGGATAAATTTTAACATGAGCTTTATCTTGTTAAGACAATTAAGTTTTAAAACAAAACCGCTGCAACAGTTAATCACAGTCTGTCTTCAGAGAAGTAGAATTTACATTTAAAGTATCTGTGATCCGTAAGGAAAACTTTAGTCAAACCAGGTGCTATCAGCATAAGGTACAAGAAAAGCTGCGTATAGCATTTGAATGCATGAAAAAGACAGGAGATTTTGGAGTAGTGACTTCATTTTCTCACGTGTCTGTACTGCTTATAGAACAATTAACTCTCCCACATCAACAAAAGCTTTACGAGAAAAGAAATTTTTTTAATGGAGAATTGTGAAGAATATTAAAATAAAATCTTTGCCTAACTAACCTCTGTGACTTAAAAAAATTAACTGCAAATATTTTTGGAAAGAGAAAGGAAAAGTTGATTTCTGAAAAGCTAGCACATCAACTGCCGATATGCATCCCTAGTTTCTAAAACTGTGTCCGAATGTACCTGCTTCCAAGAAGTACCAGTGAAGCAATAACACACAAAGACCAAAGCCACTATTGCTACAGAGATAGTAAAAAAGCAAGAGATACTCCTTAACAGTTCTTCTTTTAAACAAAAAAGTAAAATCAGCTTAACTTTCCTTCACATAAGGGATAGCACTGAGATCATCAAGATGAGACAGTAAATAAATGTGCAATCCAGTTCATGTTAAGATATTCTAAGCAAATAATGAACATAAATGAATCTTCTTTTGAGCAATCCACCTAAAGCATTGTTTAGCATCACTCATTTCTAACAGACGAAGAAGTATCTGCAAGTAATGAAGTTGAGAAACAGATGACTTCAGAAATACACAATTGCATGCATACGTGCCAATCTTGCACTAATGCAAGATTCAGGGTACAATAAAAAAAAACATTTTATAAACTATGCAGATATATACATATTTCTCACACCTTGCACAGTTGGAAAATACTCAACTTATTTTGTGCACAGTTTATGAAAACATGCACTTAAAAAGCCTTCTGTTACCCACCTATCCATACCATTGCTCAAACCATTTCAGCTTTTTTATCTTTCATACGCATACAACAGTATTATTTTTCCAGTCCAGGTTAAGCATGTGATCAAACTCATTAAGAATTAATACATCAGCTGCATTAGTTTCATTCGCAGTAACTGCAATTCTAGTAACCATAAGCTATTCAGCTACCCTACAGCACATAAGGCAGCATAATTTACATTTAACTAATTATTATAGATCGTATATTTTTGTGGAAAGAAGTTATCCACATTGCTACAAACAGCAGTTACTAATTCCTGACCTTTTCTCAAATGTCACTTTTATCAGCTTTTACAGATACATACCAACTGTTTTCTGCCGTACTATGCTTCTTGCCTTTTCTGTTCCTGGAGAGCCAGTAGTTGTAGCGCTGCGTTGTCTCATGGGTGCTTGTCCAGGCTGATCACGGCTCCAGCCTCTAGAAAAGGACTTATCAACAGAAGATTTTGGGAATTCATGCCCTACTCCTGCAAAAATAAAATCGCAAATGTCTTTACTTCTATTCTGATATCACCAGGTATTTGTAGTTGAGTTATTTCAGAGAGTTTTAAGGTTGCATAAAATAAATCATGTCATCAAAGCAAGCATGGGTTTAAAAGCTAAACAGCTCATTACTGGTTTTTAAATACATAAACCCACACAGACAGCATTAACATTGAGGGATACTCAAACTTTTTTAGAAGTGTTGGTGCTATTAAACTATCGTGATTTTCTTTTCTGACCAAGTGCAAAACCACAAGAAAACTGGGCTTACAAAGGTTGTAGCCTGATAAAAGTGTGTAACTACAGAAATTTTCCTTTGCTGTTCCTATTAGACAAGACACACAAAAAGGTACATTACAGACCATTAATACTGCGAGGTTTTTTCCAAATAATTTTGTGACATTTGAGGAACAAGAAATAAAGATGATAAAATATTTTAACACCAAATGCAAAAGCAAAAAAAAAACCAGTATGATGGGCTCAGAGAATAAGGCTCTTTCTTTATATGGAAATTCATATAAAAATACTATACTAAGATTAAGAAAAGATGGAGCAAATTCAGATTTGACATTTATATTGAAGTAAATAAAGCTCATATGAGGAGCTATCAAAACCAACCGTATGTAAAAAAAAAGTGATCTAAGGAATACTTGCAATGTATTTCCTTATCTACACTGAACTCATATAATCCAAAATTACACTTGATAAACAATCACAATCATTAAAAGGGCATCTTCTTGGAAAGTGAACCCTAGTACAACATATTCATTATTAGTAGTAAATGAACAGGACCAAAGAAATTTGGGATGATTTGTATGATATTTGTTACTTCCAAAGCTGGAGTTAACTCTAACTCACGTTTAACAAGGGACGCTTTCTCTGGAACTCAAGTACTGAGGCTAACAAACTCTTCTCATGAGGCTCTGTACAGGTGATACAGATGATTCAAAATGTTTTTTAAGCCTGTATTCAAATAACTATACACATTCTTATCTCACATCACAGACTGTATTTTTTTAAACTGCGTCTTTTGCAAGAAAAAGAAGAAATCTGCATAGTATCGGAAACAAAAATGTATGGTCATTACCACGTTCCATTACCATGGAATAACCTTTCAGGGTCAACTAGAGAGAAATGTATTTTTCCCAATCGTCACATACTAGAAGAACAAAAGAAAAGTGTGAATAATACCATTGCCCAAGATGAGAAATTTGGAAACATATGAAATGTTTTTAGCTAAAAACAGCCTACAGGAACATCCTCTTTAAGAGAGAGAAATGACCATGCCCATAGATTACTTTTCACTATCAAACTCTAGGATATTGTGGGAAGCACCTTCCCTCACGTTTGACTGGAGAACCACATTAATCAGAACACCGATTACAAAGTAGACTAAAAATTACACTTTCTTTCTATCTTTGTTACTCATCCTAAATATAATCCTTCCTCTCACTATTAGATCTCAAAGCACTTTTTAAGGATAAAAGTATTGTTACCCATGTTTACAGAAGTGGAAACAAAGACAGAAGTGATTGCTCACGGTCACATGCAGAAAGTCAATCTCTGATCTGGGAAGAGAACTCAGGTTTTGCAAATCTCAATCCAGCGCTCTATCCAGGAGAACAGACTTCCTGTCCCTTATCAATTTCAGAACTGTACCGTTATAAGCAAGTAACCACCTCCTCTCCTGGTTTTGTGTCCTACAGAGTATTTTCTGCATTGTTTAGGAATCAGTTTAAAAACTGGTATCATTCATATGGGTTATTAAAAGCATCCTTTCTCTTAAATAGTGCGACAAGGTCACTTCAACAAAACTTGTCTTCACAATGGCTTAGTGATGAATTGGAACCAAACAAAACCACGTTCATCTCACATTTCATCTTTATACAACATTAATTGGATTTCAGGATCAATATTCCAGTTGTGCTTGCAATAGCCACTTGCTAGCTAGCTAATTTTTACCCTACATGTAATCTTTGTTACTTTCAAGAAGTTATGATTGGGACTTAACTAGTTAATTGCCTTGATAAAATGAGAAAGGCATAACCCACTACAATTTAACAGTTTATGTTAAATTCAACACCTCTTTAAGAACTACATTCTGTATGTGCCTAACTATTCGCAGGACTTTACATGGAGATTTTGTGGTGGTTCTAAAAAGCAGCCTTGTCCTAAAGAAACTATGTTATTTCAGGTGACAGAGATGCCCAATTAGGTATACTAAAAAGGCTAGGCCAAAATTCTACTGTGCCAAACATCTCATTACCCTAGCTCAAATTCAAACAACGTGTACACATTTTTGTCTTACCTTTGCCTTTGTGTTTTTTCTGCTTCTGCTCACTTAATTTATCCAATGGCAGGTCACTGAGGTCCAAGCTATATAAGTTTCTAGCTAATACTTTAGTTAGTGTCTCCATTGTCAGCGACCACTCAGTGGCCAGCTCTTCCCAATATGTCAGTGATGACATTACAGACAGCAAGTCATCCCAAAGTTCTCGAGAGATGTACACATTTAGATTCGCTTTGATCCAAGCTACTATAAGAGTCTAAAAGAATAAAACAAGAAAAGTTGGGTTCCGAACATAAGATGACAATATCCAAATCTTACTGTTTAAAAAGATGTTTCTAACTGCCACAGAAATTTCTGTGTAGTCCTGACATTCTTTTCTTCACCAGTATACACAGAAAAATTTTCATGAATTATCAAGTGTTATGTTAACATGGGCTTCTGACTTTGGTACAGCAACAACTGATTTGACTCATGAAAGATCTTTTGGTATGTTACAAGTTTTGCCAATGAGTTTTGTAATACTGTTCTCAATCAGTTCTCATCACATTCATATCTTGTATATCCTTTTTTTTTTTTCCTACTGAAGAATCTAGAGACTTCTAGATTCTAAATACAGATTCTATTTACAGAGAAGCCACCACAACAGCACTCTGCAAGATTCGAAAGGATCTGCTACAGCTTACTGTAAGGAATAAAAAACCCAGTTGGTTAGGCATGGATAGCACAGAAGATTTTGTGCTGACTTGAGCTAGTTTTGCAATAGAAGCAGGCTAACACTGCACACATTGCCAGTTATCCCAACTCAACTAAAGGATTGGAATTTTTTTATTTCACAGTACCCCAAAAACCATTGTCATGGTGTCATTAAATATAGGACAGAAAGTAACAAATGTAGCCAGTTCTTTAACGCACACCATTCACGTTATCTGGGTAACATGATCAACGATTTGACAAACCAGCCAATAGTGGTTGTTGCATCTAATCTCTTGGTCAAAACTAAGATGAATTAATTAAAGTGAATTTATGTTTAATTGCCTGGAAAAGAGGTCCTGCAAGTCTTCCAGCTAAAGTGGAGTTTTTTCTTCCTTGATACTGCAAGAAAGTTTGAGGTGGTATTTTCAGCACAGATTCAGTAACCCTGAGCAGCACAAGTAGCATCTGTTCCCTGCAAAACAATATTAAACTTAGAGTTACTGTTTTGTTATACTTCTGTATATGCTAGGATACTTTTAAAGATAAGAATCAAGCTTGACTTGCTGCAACACATTCCAAACAGGATATAGTGATCACAAACAGTCTAACTTGGTTCTTGCAAAAGAAATTACTCCAATCTTCACACTTAAAAGTGAGGAGCCCCTGTCACCCTCAAACATCTTCTCCCAGGTCATTCAAGTGCTATCACCTTCAATGGCTTGAAATTACAACTAAAGTTTTAATTATATTTCCAAACTGAGCTTTTACTTTTCTTTTTTCTTTTTTTTTTGTATCAACGACAGGTTTTGGCAATGTTACATTATCATTAACATACTTCGTCAATTATATTGTGTGGCACAATCTTTGCCATCACAGTCTAGAGTCACTTCTTTACAATGATGTGAAACTGGGGAAGAAAATACTCATAGGGTGGAATCCGTTTTCTACTATTATTACTCCCATATTTCCCAGTGGCTAGCCTTGAACTGACTCCTTATTTCCTCACAAGAGGAGACAAGCTTCAAATGATATGTACTGCCAGCTCTACTTACCTAGAGTTCAGGTAATACTAGTGACAAATTGAATGTAAGTCAAGTTAAAACAGAGTAAATCAGCCATTTGAAATCCCCTTGCTAATTCTTCCTTGCAATAGAGAATAGTGGCAATATACTACCTCATTAGAAACAGGGATTAAAAGGAAAGGGGGAAATACTAGAAATAATTTGAAAGTGGGTCCCTTGTACCTGCTAGGCACCTTAAGCACTGGAAAGGAACAAAACAGTTAAACAGTACACAGACTCCTGTACACGATCACAGATCAAGAGTAAAATGCATGATTATAATAGTTATCCACACTTATCTGAGGATGTTTTGTTTATTTTTAAAGAAAGCTGTGAAGTTTCATATGTGTTTTCATATTTAGCACTTTGATATGACTAAAACGCCTTGGCAAAAAGTCATCAGTAGCTCCTTAAAAGTAGCCTGTATATCCTAGCTTACTACTTTTTTTCACTAAAGGTTAAGCTGCCTCAAACTAAGTGCTTACTACTGGCTTTAACAGAGCAGATAACCTTTTCCCCTGTGTTAAGTTGTCTGTGATGTTAATGACCATGTATTTACTGATTTAGAGAATCTGGTTCACATAGTCAATACCACTCTACTGTGTTTACTACCACATAAATTTTCACATTTATCTTGTGAACTAGTAATCTAAGATAAAAGCATTAGCATTTTACCATGTCTTCTTGTCCATAGTCACTTGGACTACCATGTGACGGTAGATATTAAGAATGCGTTTACACATATCAGTGTGTTCATCCAGCAGAGCTTTAATTTCATTTGCAGGTTCGAGAAAGAATATATTTGAAGAATTTATTATAAAAATCTGTAAGTAGAAAAGAGTGGATGTTATGAGCTTGAAGCACTTTGATGTTTTCAGCAATTCAGCTGGTAGCAATCAGGAAAAAAAAATCTATGATTAAGAGAAAAGGCTGCACTTAGAAGTATGTATTTAAATATAAGTTAGTTTCATGTGATTATAAAACAACAATAACACTGATTTTTTTCCCCATTTTTTTCTACAAAACATGCTTCTATATTTTTGCCTTCGTAGACAGGTGGTACAACAAACTACTCAATACAATTATTTTAATATGATAGATAAAAACGTCTCAGTAAAGAAGTTCACTGCACGAAGTTCCACCTGTAACCCTGCAACCGACGAGTACAATATACACTAAAATACTTGAAACAGTCCTGGTACACAATGCGTGCTTAAACATGACAAGGCCTCTATTAGGTTCTCAGAAACTAAAGCATTCATCCTGTTATCCAACAATGAAGGGGTTAAAATTTTTGCGTAAGAATTTAATGAAGGTTTTAGTAGGCAGTTTACACATACCTAAAGAACATAACAAGATGAAAATCCTTGAAGCTGCCAGAAGTTTTTAGAAGGGAGACTCTTTATCAAGAACTGCCTGCCCTTAAAGGAAACATGCCAGAAAATGTCTAAACTTTTTTATCATGTTTTTCTGAATTGTGAACACGTGCAGCAGTGACTTGGGGGAAAGGTAATTCCAGCAGGGGGAGATTGCGACCACCGACTCATGGACCACCTGCTCTAAACATACCCCAGACCCAAAAGAAAGGGGTGGAGGAAGAAGACTGAGCATGCAAAGTAATTTGCATGTAAAGCAAGAGAAAATTAACCAATTGTTTAGGAAAATAACAATGAAAATGTACACGTTATGAATATGCATGACTGTAGTGTGCAACTAAGTTTCTGTCCAGGGGCCAGGTGTGCATCCCAGGAGGAGATATGCCCCATGCACCTGCCGTCGCAATAAAGTAATCATACAATCATGGAATGGTTAGGGTTGGAAGGGACCTCAAAGATCATCTAGTTCCAACGCCCCTGCCATGGGCAGGGAAACCCTCCACTACACCAGGTTGCCCAAAGCCTCATCCAACCTGGCCTTGAACACTGCCAGGGATGGGGCAGCCACAACTTCTCTGGGCAACCTGTTCCAGTGCCTCACCATCCTCAAAGTAAAAAATTTCTTCCTTATATCCAATCTAAATCTGCCCTCTTTCAATTTAAAGCCATTGCCCCTTGTCCTATCACTACATGTAAAAAGTCCCTCTCCAGCTTTCCTGTAGGTCCCCTTTAAGTACTGGAAGGCTGCAATAAGATCACCCTGGAGCCTTCTCTTCTCCAGGCTGAACAGCGCCAACTCTCTCAGCCTGGCTTCATAGCAGAGGTGCTCCAGCCCTCGGATCATCTTTGTGGCCCTCCTCTGGACCCGCTCCAGCAGCTCCATGTCCTTCTTATGTTGGGGTCCCCAGAGCTGAACACAGTACTGCAGGCGGGGTCTCACGAAAGCAGAGCAGAAGGGCAGAATCCCCTCTCTCAACCTGCTGGCCACGCTTCTTTTGATGCAGCCAAGGATACGGTTGGCTTTCTGGGCTGCCAGTGCACATTGCTGGCTCATGCTGAGCTTCTCATCCACCAGCACTCCCAAGTCCTTTTCCTCAGGGCTGCTCTCAATCCATTCTTTGCCCAGCCTGTACTTGTGCTTGGGATCGCCCTGACCTACGTGCAGGACCTTGCACTTGGCCTTGTTGACCTTCATGAGGTTCTCACAGGCCTACCTCTCCAGCCTGTCAAGGTCCCTCTGGATGGCATCCCTTCCCTCCAGAAGTAATGCCGCTTTCTAACACTGCAAACTGTGTTAGAGAGTTTCTGTCCAGATTTTCGGTGACAATCCCACTGTGATCAGTAAGGCTGACCAAAAGTATGAAACAGCATACCTTCCTCCAAAGTGGTTGACTTTAGTAGACAATGAATTAGGGCTTTCAGAATGAAAATGATGAAAACAAAGCAGGCAAGGACACTGTAGGAGTTACAGGAGCCACTACTGAAGCGTTGTTATATTTTTATGTAAGTTTAGGAAGTATTTGAATCATGGTGAGCACTAGATTTCCAATTAATTTATATTTGTCTTTTTTAACCCACACATACAAAAAATCATTGGTTCTTCTACTGAAAGCTTTGGATTTTAATACTTAAAAACTATTAGTATGCAGCTTTATATTCACTAGCCTCAACTAATGAACCCACGCCACTCTAAGTGCCTAGAAATCAGTTTATGCAATAATTAAATGGGAAGAAAACTCCAGCCAGAAGTCTTGGATTCTTGATTCACAGAAAAAAGTCAAGTGTAGTTCCAGGTCAGGAAATCTCTCAAATTCAGACATGCTAACGGATTAGAATGATGTCTTGACTCCGTTTTGGGCTCCACCAGACATTTGCTGGTCCAGTGAACACTCGTCTAAAAAATTTCAACATGAAGAATCTCCTGAGAATGGCATTCTCAGATGCGTAAACCTTAGTAATACATTGCAAATAAAGATACTTCACTGTTTCTTTTCTCAGAAACACTTTCTAATTTAAATAGTCATTGTATGCAAAGATTATGAAGCTAAATTATTGTAACATGTTTGAATTTAACAGTTATTTCAGTTACAAAGTTTAATTCAATACATAGCAATGTACAGCACAACAGGAAACCCTATTCAGGACATCATTCAAGGTGTATGAGTTCTAATTAGCATGATCACCCATGGTAAAAGTGCACATGGTGGAGTGGCAAATGCATGTCTGTTTCATTTTATCTAGAAACAATTTTTTTCCCCGAATAAAAGAGTACTATGAGGCTACGGTCATATACACACCTATATGTATGTATGTGCGTGCACATATTATACATAAAACGCACACATTTTATATGACCTTTAAAGCATTTCAAAGACCCTCAAATTATACACGTTTGATTTTCTATATCCTCAACTTCAGTAAAGAATTTCGCTGAACATTTGAAATTAACACAATCTCTACTCTGCCAAATTTCCTAGAAGCAGTTAGAAAACTTCTGTTAGGAGACTTCTGCAACTCTCCCATTTCTTAAGGATATCATTGAAATGGAGAGTTGTGTTTGATCAAATTTTTCAAACACTATGTACTCATCCATTCTGTAATTCAGATAAAGATGAGAAAATATCCCTGTACACTTTATTATTCAGATGGCTTGTGTGTGGTGACTAATAACTTAGAAGAAAAAAGCTTCTAAGCATTCTCATTAAATGCTTAATTAGTATAATTCAACATGACACTCAAATGAGAAATTATTTTTTCTGTGATACAATGCAGAGCAGAATGCATGTCCTGATGCAAAAGCGATGTTATTCAAATACTACATTATCCAACACTTTTGTATACGCTGTCCTACTTAAGGTCAATAAAAATATAGTGAACCACTGTCATTTATTCTAACACTATTTATCATTATACTTTTTAAAACTAAAATAAATTTAAATTCAGAGATGCTTTGAAGGAGCATAGGTTTACCTTCCAGGAGTATTGCACTATATTCCACTCTTATGTGCTGATAACAAGACTTTTATTATTAGGATGAAAATTAGCCATCAAGTCGATTTCATACCTGCAATACTGACTGCACTCCAGCTCGTACATTTTGCTCTTCGGTATCTATTTCAGATGTTTTATGCAAAGTGTCTTCATAACACCCATTTCTTCCCCAGTTTGAATTTCGAACATGACTGGAGTTCATCCCTTTTTCCTGAAAAATATTTTTTTCTAAAAAAACCCATAGATTTATAGACAGGTATTTTGATTTTATATTAAAGGAAAAATGATATAATAGATAATAAATAGTAAACAATGGTAGACAGATGTTTAAGGTGCATCTTAAAGACATAACTATATTTTAAGAAGTTTGTAACAGTTATTTTGACGTATCCGGATTAAATAACTACTATTTTCCTCATCCTTTTATTTGTATATAGTTGTCCTGGTTCAATTGCTATTGATTCTTCCCAACAGATGCTCTGACATCAAATTAAACCACATACGATATGTTAGGAGGCCACTTCTCTACTCGTCTACTAGCGTATTCAAAAGATGCACAAATATTAACCAACAATATTTTACCTCTTCTCTTTCTTTCACTTTCTCTGATGAATTGTGGTCAACAACACTTTCATCACAATCTACGGTTGTGCACTGCATTATTTCTTCAGGTTCTTTCATAAATAAGGGCTTGTCTTCTTGATGAATCCATTCCTGATACACCTTTACCACTTTCCTCATGGCTGCTGCTTCACATATCGGCAACAGAAATGCCTGTGAGTAGAAGAGGAAACAAACAAAAAAACAGTTACAATACCTGAAATCAAATTGAGCTCTATAATGTACAGGTTCCAAGGGATAAGGAGAGGTGAGAGAATACAGGCAGCATAGCATCTTAACAAATAAATTACTGCTAAACCTAAATGTTTGCTCAACTTTCTTCATCTGTAAACTAAAAACACACACAAAAAAAGTATTAGCAAGAAAACTTATCAAGAAAGTACTTCAAAAACTTCACTGCCAAAGAGAAAGATACGAGAATCCATACAGGCATGTCTACTCAACACCTAGCCTGCTGAAACTAAGGCCCAAACTTTCATCAAAGGTATGAAAAACAAATGAGCAGAAGTTTCTATTGCAACATCTTTGATTCAGAGGACTGGGATGAGCGGAGTTAAATCAGTTCTAAACTACTAACAAAAATTCAAATGGCATACATTACTGGTAGCCATGTATCTTACTTTTGGTTAAATGATTTTACAAAATAGCATCCTTAAAATAAATGACTCCTTGAAAAAACTTCAGAAGGCTTGTTTCAAAAAATCCTGCATTTGGGTCGGTGTGATGGCTGATCACTGCCCTCTTCAGGAGGTTTTCTGTATCTGTTGTGCTGGTAACAACTAGTCAGAGATCAGAAACGTCTAACATTAGTCAGGTTTTAACTAACTATAAGTACATTTACCAAAGACCATGATGCCCTAGCTGTACTTAAAAAAAGAATGGATAAATTACATTAACACATAGTTTTATGGAGTCTATGGAGTGAATGTTGAAAACTCATTGCCCATGTCTTTAAGGAGTGCTCACTTGACATAAGCAGTATGTTCTCTTTGGAAACAGACATTTTATACCACTATCACACTAAAGAGAATTTTGCTCTGTATTACTGAATTCAGCTGACAAGTTCATCACTATCATTCATCAAGCCTAACTGTCTTCCGCAAGCCCATATACATTTTTTGTAGCTTGGAGTCTAAAATGCATAAAACTTTTTTTCTACAATCTTCCCACCATTCAGTACAACTGAAACCTCCTCCTGACTGCAATAACTTAGCCCTAATGTTTCAGAAACATTACAAGTATCTGGCATATTAGAAATAAACTTACACTGAAAACTTCTGGCTAAATAATGACTTAAACGAGATCTCATAAGCACATATGAAATCCCAATAATCTACATAACTCGCAGAGTGCCTTGTGAAAAGAACAAAGAAAATTGCCTTTGCTGTGCCTTTCACTGAGGAGGGGCAGTCTCTAAATAGACTATCAATAATTTAGTCTCTACATTCAATGTCTCAGACTCCGTAAACCCTTGAGCAGCAGTCGAATTCAGGTAACTCCATTATCTCCTTCAGTAATGTGCCCAAGCTCCTCAACACATTGGATCCAGATAAGCTTCTGACGTTTGTTTGCCTCATTCAAAAAACATCCGTTTCATCCAGATATACTGGAGTTGCAAAATGTTTAGTTTTCTGCTGTTTAAAGCAATTAGTATGATGCATTTCAATTTAAACTTCGTATACATTTTCTTTATTACCACTAAGAAAAATCTCTTCATTTTTTATTTATAGCATGGGGTGTAAGGAAGATGGAACTTGAATTTATGTATGTTCACATTGTAAACAAACACTCTGTATTCTGGCATATGTTCTCAGTTTAAATTTGTTCAATACTTTCCAGTTGAGAAACTATTTTGAGTATGCTCAGCTAACATTTCTGGTTGCAGTAAAGTCAGAAGCAGAAGCTGTTACCTTCTACAGCCATCTGTCCCACTCTTCTGATGAACACTATCAAGATAAGGACATTCAATTGCTCCTAAAACAGCTCTTCAACAGCTGCAGACTCCCACAGGGAGCTTATTTTAATATGGTTGGTTATGAGCTCTAATAGCTACTGAGTTGACATATGAAAAGATCAAACGCTCCTGTCTATTGGGAACTGTTAAGTCAAAGTTAAATGTTGTTCAACTGGCTATTAAAGAAATAAAAGTGAAAAAATTAGGAACAGGGGATATTCTACTTAGAAAATATTTCACAATTTTTACTTTTCACATCTTAAACCTTAAAGGTAAGATGACAGAAAAAACCTGTACATTTATATAATGTTCTGCTTAGCAAACGCACTTGAAAGAACACCATAACATAACGATCATTTACAGTATAATAATCAAGATTCTTGCATTCTAAAGAGGGTTCTTTACCTGTCGAAAAATCTCAGTTAGAAAATTAACATTGCTTCTTTTAGAAGAAAAGACTTTCCGGACAATTTCAATATCGGTTAAATGCTCTTCATCAATACTGCAGAGGCTGGAAGAACTTGGTTCTCTCTCTGTTAGAGTACTTGTATTAGAATGAGATTGTTCTGGCTCTGCATTTCTATCCTGCTTATCAGTACTGTCACTTTTGCTGTCCTCCCGTGAAGCCATGCTAGCAGCTGCTCTCTGCAATAAAAATTAGGGAATATTTCACAGCTCATTTTTAGTACAACAGTTAACAGTACAATTTAAGCCATACAACAGTATAATTTAAAACACTACAAAGAATTCAGGAAAAAAAACACCCAAAGATAGCATTCACTGAATTTCAAGGCTTCTTATGTCTATTGGATTAAAAACAAAATAGAAGAATATGGAAAAAAGAAGCACAGGAAGTACATCTAAACTGAATTCATAAGCAGAAAATTTGCTGAGAAATTCCTTTTTAAAATTTTTCATTAGTTATAATTATCAGAAAAGTGCACATGGTTGACATAACAATTAAGACAAAAACATGAAACCAAAAGAACTTTGTTGTATGTTTAGTTTTACCTGAATATTCTTTGGCACATTTTCACCTTCCATTCCAGGAATATGAGGTCCTGTATGAGGTTTTGGCTCAAGCCAGAAAGACACCAACCACCGAATGACAATAACACGAGCCTTAATAAAAGGTTCTTTTGTGCAATATACTGCCTCATTGGTTTCAGCATCTTTCTTAACCATTACATAGTGTGGCTTTGGTCTCATTTGTGGTATATCTGTAAAGAAACACAACATCTTAAAATATGTGCAGAGAGAAGGCTCAACATAAGAAAGAAATCCTAAAACCATAATCAATACACGTAAACTTTAAGGGGTGCTGTTTTTGCATATTCACTGTTACACAACTCATCCCAAGATGTGCCAAAATAGAGATGACAGAGAAAATTCCAAGACTAGACTGTAAGACATCAAAAGGCTGTCATTTTCTCCTGGAGAAAATTTCTTCTGTTGGTCCAACAGACAGCAACTGGCTTCTAATATGCAAAACCTTTAATTTTTTTATCTGAAAGGGATTTCTGTAGCCTTACAGACTTGCTTGCATTTTTTTCCTAAACAAGTAAACATATTTCTTTACATTGTTTCCAGCTCTAAGCTACATGCTATACTCAATATTTAAAGATAAACTTCAGCAAACTCACTACTTAACACTTTCAATGAAAACTACAAAGGAGTTCTAAGTAGCAAAATAACTATTAACTCGACTAGAACATGGCCTATACAAGAAAATTATTTTCATATAGAATTAAGATGTTGTCAAATTTCTTAATTTTTAAGAAGTATTTAGAGATGTTTAAGTTACTAAGCAACAATGTATGCTACTAATAACATTTTACAGCCTTCTAGGAGTCCTATATGTCACTTAGCCCCTACCACCAAACCTACTGGGAAGGGCAGATGCAGTTCACAAGCAACGATCACCACATTTCCTAGTGCATCCCTAGAAAGACTTCTGTGTTGGTCTCCTGCAACCCACAGTAGAGCAATATACTAAGCGATAAGGGTCATCAATTCTTTACTGATACAGATCCCAACACCTAATAATGTCTACAATGGGAGAGCTTTACTTTCAAACTGCATTCTGACAGCAGCTGCAATAAACACAGCCTTTTCTGGCCCTGCAATGGGTGATAGGTGAATAGTACAGTGAGAAATCCTGCTCCAAAACCATACGAGGCTTAAGAGCTTCATCTAATGCGACATCTGCACGAGATAATTTTGCTGGACTCTCTTGCCAGAGCAAGAGCACGTGCATCTTCATGCGACTTAGCAGAAAGATGATTCTACGGCACTAGCTCCACACTAGCTTGCAGGGGATGATGCCCAGTGGGATGTCAATCCTGGTCTGAAAGAACTGTGGTTCAATGGGGTTTATAAATTACAACTCAATTTTCTCCATCACATGTTCTACACAATGGTTCAGAACTATTTAGCTCTTTTAGTTCTCTACTGTGCTAGTGACAAAGATGCTGACCGCACCACCAGTATTCCTGAATCTGTTTCAGAAAAAAGTGACACAGTTCTTAATAACTCAGTGTGGAGGGAATTGACACATGCAGTAAAAACATTACAAAGACATGGTGGGGGAAGGAGGCATGGGGACAGAACATGACATGATAGATAATTTTTAAATGGTACATAATGGACATTTCTGCAAGGACAAATATCAACAGCCCAGTTCAACTCCAGACATGTACCACCCACCTCAAGGCTGCAAAATGTCATTTCTGGGTTTCACAACCCAAGACAGAGTGTAAAACAGCTCTGCAACACAAATCATAGATTCATAGATTTCTAGGTTGGAAAAGACCTTAGAGATCATCGAGTCCAACCGTCCCTAATCCCCATTAAACCATATCGCTAAGTAGATCATCCACCCTATTCTTAAACACGTCCAGGGATGGGGACTCAACCACCTCCCTGGGCAGCCTATTCCAGTGGCTGACAACCCTTTCAGAGAAGAAATACTTCCTAACATCCAACCTGAATCTCCCCTGACTAAGCTTATACCCATTTCCTCTTGTTCTGTCACCCATCACTAATGTAAAGAGCCCTTCCCCTAGCTCCCCACCATCTTTTCTCAAGTATTTGTAGGCTGTAATCAGGTCTCCCCTCAGTCTCCTCTTCTCCAGGCTAAACAGCCCCAACTCCCTCAGCCGCTCCTCATAAGTTTTATTTTCCAGCCCCTTGACCAGTTTAGTCGCCAATCTGAAGCAGCTACAAAACCTTCAGGTGCAAATGACATTTCTCTGAGAGAGGTGTGCCAACTCTACTTGTAGTTCTAGAAGGGCAAGTATGAGATCTCCGATAAAAAACAAACCAACAAAACAAACCCACAAAAAGAACAAGGCATGGAAAATGATGGTCCTATACAGATACAGAGAGGGACAGGTTGGACAGACATATTTTAGCACTGCCTCAACTCTTCTATAGCTTGTGATACATAAGTGAGAGATACATTCTATGGTTTTACAGAAGGAAGTTCAAAGATATTAAGAGTGGGAGTCAAAGAAGACGCAAAGTAGTCATGCTGAAGAAAATGAAGTTGTTCCCTGACTATACCTTCCTAATGCAAGGTCAGGACCTGTTTTAGGGAATCCAGCATAACTTCTGTCAGGTTATGGTATCATAGAGGACACAAATCTGGATAGCATCAAAGAATTAATCAGCTACTATTGAGGCAATTAACTTATGACAGCCATATATACTTTTAGGCATTTGAAGTGAATACAGCCTACCTGCTAGACTGCTGTAAAAGCTTCCTTTTTAACATTACAAATACAACACAACATCCAGCACCAGCACTGAGGATATTGAAGCTGGTATATCTCAGTGTCATTTCAACGGCCACATACAACAGTGGTAATAAATTCATCATGATGCTGCTAATCTGAGGAATGTTTCCCAAACACACTTTAAAGTTACATCCACTATTTTTAATGGAAGCATTATTTTTAGAGGAAAAAACTACATGACCCTTGCATACCATCCACCTAAGTAATTAAAAAATGCACAGAATACTTTTTATAACGCTTACAAAGAGTTTATTTACTACAAATGAAAAACAGTACATGGTTTTCATTCTTTGGAAAGCAGCAGGCCAGTAAGAAAATTAAAAATTATATATATATATATTAAATAGAAGCATGTGCAATAGCACAATCAGCGAAAAAGGGAAGTAAACACCTGGTAGCGCAGTATTTAAAGATGCAAAAATCAGTTTTCTCTGGTATTTATCAGCATTCAGCAGAGCATGAAGGCTGCAATACCAGCTATGCAGTAACAGCACTCGGACAGTTATTTCAAAAGGACAAGATATCCAGTAGGTACGCGGTAAATATGTCTTTGCAGCATACTGTCATCTTCTGTAGTTTCATGATAACCTCTCAGAACACCCTCTCTCTCTATTCTCTCAAGTGTATTATGTGCTGCAGCTACTTCTCAAGTATATCCTCCTTGTATTTTCACATTTCTGTCCATCTTGAAAGTAGAGTCAAGGCTCCAGATGAGGACACCGACCTAAAACCAAAGCAAAACAGAAGCTTATTAGAGTGACTCAAATAGCAGAAGAGGAAATATTCCCTTCCTTCAACTTTCCATTTTTCCTTTCTATTTTGAGCTTTCCTCATCCTTCCCCCTCTGGTGACTTGGTGTGAGTTGGTGCCAAAGAGAGCAGGAAGGTGTAGGTGGTGGAAGACATACACAAGGTAGAAAATGAAAAGGCTAGCAAAAACACAGCTATAATGGTGGACACTTACAGTTTTGACCACACTTACATTTTAAGGCACTAAAGGAATCAAGAACTGCAGAGAGCTGTAGGCCAGCCCACTTTAATGTCTCTCTGTAAATGAAGGAGTCCATCTAAATGGCTTGTAAATGGCACTGAAAGACACATTGCTATGATAGGAGAAACAACGCCCCTGGAATCTTACTGCCAAATCTGCATTTCTTACTAAGGAGTTTTTAAAGACTATCTTACAGAATCTAAACAGATGTTAAAAGACATTCAAAACAAAATAACAATCTCATGAGCTCTTCTAAGCCTGTAATACTCAGCCAGAATTTGGAGGTGGCACAATACTAGCTCCTTGTAACTGGAATGCTCATTGCTTGTTACTGTAACAAATATACTTACCTGAAAATCTGCCTTAACAGAAAGAAAAAAAAACAACAAACACCTCAATCCAATACACTATCTCCAGTAAAGCCCTGTATCAATGCTTGCTTACTAAAACTACTGTTTTGATTTGCACCTCATGACTTCTAAATTTAACATTACAGCAGTACCATAAGAACTTCTGGTTTTAGTAGCAGGCTCAGTGTCCAAGTTTGACCTTTTTTCTGTCTAAGTTCAGAACAGGCACAGGACTGTTTTCAAATAGGGCAGGGAGAGGCATGCCAGAGAAGAACTTCTTAGAGGAGAAAAGACTATTCTACTTACCAGTATTTCCGGTGCTTTCATTACTGTATTCCTCTCAAAATCCTCGTCATTGTTGTTGACCTTCACAGTTTAAGACACTGACAGTAGTTCTGGAGATCTGTGCTCAGCTCTTCTTCTTCCCCATTGTCCTTTACCAAGGCCTTGGAATTTTCTTGTTTATGGTTGACAGAAAGAGAGGACTGCATAAACACTTCTGTGGAAGACTCAATCAAGATCTTCACAGAACGAGAAAATATCGTTTCCACATTTCTTGTTCAAGGACATCAAGCTGCAGTAGGTTTGCTTTGTCACCATTGCTTACCATCCCTCTTGTAGCTATTTTATCAACGAACCTCTTCAATTTCTTCACACAGCTCTCATTCAACTGTTGCTTATAGCTGGATTTAGACTGTTTTTCTCCCCTAGATGAGAAGGTCCACTGTTTGTCTTTCCTAGGAGAACATGGTTTTGAAAGATCCATCTCCGAAGAAAGCCTCAATCCAATTACATGTACATGGACCGGCAGAAAGTAAGACCTTTTCAACACATTTCCCTGACAGCTTGATTTTAGAACATGAAATTGTGGCTAGAGATCACTACCAACCCTGGTGAGATGCTGCACCAACAGGTAAAAGAAGCAGTGAGGTGTCCATATTACTCAGGTAATGAAATGGCAGCTTAAAGCCTGTGTACATGATATCACTTTGCAAACAAGAGTCTCGAACTCTGTTGGCTTACAACCAACATGTGTATAGCTTAGAATGGGCTAAAAACCTCTGAACAAAACTCCAGTTAGACTTGCTTAGCAAACATCTAAAATTTCGCTCTCTATATTGAAAGATATATTCTAGCACCATCAGCTTTAAAGATTGTGTTAAATCTTAGCTCCCTCATGCTACTAAAAGCTCTTGAAAAAATACAGTTGACGCAAAAGCGTAAGTAACTTTGCCCTGACTGAACTATGAGCAAGCAGTGTATGATGCACACACCATGATTCTTATAGATAAAGCAAATGTTCCCCAAAGAACAGTACACTAACACCTTTTATCTCAGCAGTTGTTTCTCTTCAGAGCACAACTTAAACCAACAAAGGTCACGTTAAAGAACAGTTTTACAAGAACATTTAATTCACCTGAATCAGGTTAATATAGCAAGACTGGCTCTAATGAAGGGGTCAGGTGCCTCCACAGAGAACTGAAAACCACGAACGGGAACCATAACATGTTCTTTCATAAGAAATACTTTTGGAGAATGTTCGTTATGGGCAACATGAAAATGTAATGATTTTATCAGCTGTGTTACCACTTACCAAGTATAGGGTTATACAAGCTGGTGTCCTTACAGATGTTTGGGAAAATGGAAGGTAAGTAGTATTTTTTAAAATTTGAGAATAAAAATGAAAATCCCTTTTCCTGGTTTTCCTTGTTCTTCCATTCTAAACTCTTAACCTTAAAAAAAAGAAGTTGGATAAAGTAAACAACTAGAAGAGAAAGATGACTGATGAAATGGCTTTGTTATAAATTATTTCCTTGGAATGAAGTCATACGCATTTTAATAAACACTTCTAGAAAGATGGAACAGAAACCAGCTAGGAAATGTCAACGAAACAAAGACTGTTCTCTTCCAAAACGTTCCTTCAAAATGAATTTGAACGCATCAAATAATGACCATAAAAGCAGATGTATTTCTATTGGTTTCATCTTGCCAAGTCAGGGACTGAACCCAAATAGATTGTTTTTAATAAAACTGGTTTTTTTAATTTCAAAACGTTTTATAAGAAAAGGACAATAACCCATGCTACTCTGAACACTTGTTTGACAATTTCTTTTAACACATTTCGACTAACAAGTGTCCATATATTCATTATAATAGGTACTTGGATTCATTTGTGTAGTAGGCAATATGAAAAACAAATCTGTCAACCACAAGCAGCAGCAGATACAACTTTAAAGTTGAATTACACAAATCTACCTTCATGGATCATAAGTGCTAAGCCTTCCCCATTATGAAATGTTCTCCTACTGAAAAGCATTGTAAGCTCTCCCTAATAATAAATCAACATGCAGTTTCCATCTTTGTCTGGAGAATCTATCTGCCTGCAGAGTTAGGTAATCTAACTAGGTCAAGTCTACCATAAACAAAATAAAGGAAGTTTTCTGAAAAGTACTCTTTTCTTTCCCTCCTCTCCTCTATTCCTTACTCCAAGTCCACAGCTCTATTATGATCTATTTTCAGGGCAATGGGCCTTTAGAATGGAATATACACACATATATATCCCCTCTCAATATAATTCAATAGACTGGATGGCTAATATGTAGAAATCGGTTACACAAAGTCCTTTACCAGAACTTAATATCAAAAAGTAACTATTCAGCTTGAAATTATCAGCACTTCTAGAGACTTCAGCAAAAGACTTTAGCATTCACATAATGAACAAGTCTATGACACCTGTCTCAATGACTTATCTAAATTTAAGTATACTACCAATTTAGTACAGAGAGGGCAGTTGTCTTCAAGAACATAAGGGGTATTTTTATCCAAACCGAACAGTCATCATTAAGCTTAGCCTACAGATCACAAGTAGTGAGGCCCTCTATTCAAACCGGGAGATGCTGGAAGTAACAAAACAAGGTTGTAAATTATTCCAGCACTGCGAGCTCGGAGAGTAAGATAGATAAAGGGAAGCCATGAAATGTTTCAGTTTAACGTTGTCCATGTTTGTGTCACTATCCATTGTCTCTAGAACAACCTGCAAAAGCATGAAGAAAAACTTATGATAGAAACCCAGCTGGGTTCTGCTGGACAAGTCTGACCCTGAAGGCAGTACCCTGGACCACCTACAGCATGCCTTGCGGCCAAGCAGTTTGCTGGGCATATGACAGAGCAGGCTTTGAAGCAGCATGTGCTAACTGGTCAGCAAATCAATTACATAAAATATAATAGCTAAACCAGAGTTTTTGATAGAAGCTCTTTCCATGCCCTGTGCTAGGCATTTGAAGTACTGGCCAAAATCACAGAAGTGTCAGAGTACAAAGGGAATGAGGTAACATGCGCCCCAGTTGCACACCTTAGATTAGATACTCATTCAAGGCTTCATTTTCTGTGCATAGTTTAGCTCCATAATCTTCCTTTCAAGTAGCTTGGGATTTGCAAGATCTTATCACATAGCAATGCCACTAAGTGAGTGTAATCTCAGCAGTGCAGCTACTTTCAAGCAGAACTTATCTCGTAAGCTCTGGCAGATCTGAAGCATACCAAATATGTACTGTTTCCCATTGCTTCTTGTTTGAAGAGGTTCACCTGCTCAGCTGTAGCAGTAATCCCAAATTTTGTTGTGCAGTGTACTGAGCTTGAGCTTACAAGTCTCCTAAAACTATAGTCCCAGAAAGTACAGTTAAGATACCGACAGGAGTCATAGCATCATCCCTGCAGATCTGGACAGAAAACATCTTGTTGAACAGAAAAACAAAACCAATCAAATAAAGAAAACCCAAGAACTCTTGCTAGAAAGCCATAATCTCTATATCATGCTCTAACCACATCCCGGAGCATTTTTCTTAACCAGGGCTTTCCAGTAGCTCAGAGTGTTTCCATTAAAGAACGGAGGGGTTGTATGGTCAATCTATTGTAACAGCAGATATCCCAGAAGGATAGCTGGAGGGAAAAATATGACCCTAAGCACAGATACTGGCAGTCAAACCATTGAGTCTTACATCCTATTTCTGTTTGGTTTTGCCAGCTAGCCCAAGCATAAGCCTAGGAGAAAGGCCAGCAAAAGTTTGCTCAGACTTGTTAAAAGCCCATATCACAAAAAAAACAATGTTTTCAGTTAGAAGTTTCCCCTTAGTTTGAAAAGCAAAGTCCCTGACCACCAAGAAATCCACATAATAAGAAAGAGCCCAGTTGAATCAGCCTACTGGTTGAAGGTAACAGGGTGGGGAGGAGGGAAGGTGAAAATGGGAAGGGAGCTGGAATCGGCATTTCTGGAAGTGACCGACAAGTCTTCTTTTTATTCTGTGTTGCAATCTGATGCAAGACTCCATGGTAACAGACCTATGAATCGTCACAGAAGATAAGTGAAGATTTTTCTAGGAGAATTTGCTTTTTACAAAGGACTTCTTTTTGGGGGGGGGGTGGGGGAGAGGCAAGGAGAGGAATGTTTAAAACATTTTTATATACATTTGCAGTGCTATTAGTAAGTGTCTTCTTGTAATGGACAAACAGGAGTTAGCTGTTTCACACTTGTTTACTTGAAAACTATAGAACATACCTGAATTACGATGTATTTCAAAAGTGCTTCTAAGAAATAGCTTGTTAAATCTTCTTGTCCTTTATCTCCTGACTGTGGAGGAACAAGTGGAGTGATTTCCTCTACAGTCACTTGAGCTATTTAAAAGAAAAAAAGAGAAAGAAGTACATCTAACATATATATCATTTCTTCTCATGCACATTTGGAAGGTTCCTAGCCACAAGAATACCACAGTGTTAATTGCCTGACCATACACAGACACAGCAGGAAGAACACAGAATCATAGAATGTTAGGGACTGGAAGGGACCTCAAAGGATCATCTAGTCCAACCCCCCTGCCTGAGCAGGACCACCTAGATCAGATCACACAAGAACACGTCCAGGCGGGTATTGAACATCTCCGGAGAAGGCGACTCCACAACCTCTCTGGGCAGCCTGTTCCAGTGTTCTGTTACCTTTACTGGGAAGAAGTTCTTCCTCATGTTTAAGCGGAACCTCCTATGTTCCAGCTTATATCCACTTCCCCTTGTCCTATCATTGGATGCCACTGAGAAGAGCCTGGCTCCATCCTCATGACAGTCACCCTTTACTTATTTATAAACATTAATGAGGTCCCCCCTCAGTCTCCTCCAAGCTAAAGAGACCCAGCTCCCTCAGCCTTTCCTCATAAGGGAGATGCTCCACACCCTTAATCATCTTTGTGGCCCTGTGCTGGACTCTCTCAAGCAGTTCCTTGTCCTTCTGTAACTGAGGGGCCCAGAACTGGACACAATATTCCAGATGCGGCCTCACCAGGGCAGAGCAGAGGGGGAGGAGAACCTCCCTCGACCTACTAACCACACCCCTTCTAATACACCCCAGGATGCCATTGGCCTTCTTGGCCACAAGGGCACATTGCTGGCTCATGGTCATCCTGCTGTCCACCAGGACCCCCAGGTCCCTTTCCTCTGTCCTGTTCCCTAACAGTTCAGTCATTGCCCTAACAACCACTCATTCTCTTGAAGGCCATGCCAGAAACTGCTTTGTGTAGCTTGCTCCCCAGAGCATGGCCAAAGCCAGTGCAAATGTTCAACACAACCAGAATCTGCCTGTGCAAATTTCCAGTAGATGCAGTATCTGTTGGTAATTCTCAAGAATTACACGAAATTAGTCAGTTTATTGTCACTTACTATGACTTAAGCTCATATGGCTTGCTTGCTATGGCTATAGCCATACTTCAAAAAAAAAAAACCCACAAACAAACCACCACAACAAAACACCACAAAAAACAACTCGCCCTTGAAAAACAACAACAAAAGACAAAGTTACTATTGGAACGATACCTGATAAACTGTCAGAAAACTAATTAACAGCTCCATAATCTCCCTGGTTACATATATATATATGTTAGTTCTTTGTTACATCAACTTGCCTTTTCAGTGCGGAGAATTGAATTATGTAGAGAATTAAGTAATATTACCAAATTACTTACTTTCTTGAACATTAAGTGGAGGGTTAATGAGATTATCTAGCGTTCGGGGGCCATATTCAGACTGTGGTGATGAAAATCCAGGAATCAAGCATGAAAACATCCATAATTGTTCTTTACTACAGTTGTTTTGAAGTGCTTGCAGCCACAAAAGAAAGAGACGCACGCCCTCTCGCCGTATCTTAAAGGAAAAATTCAGAATAGGTTAATTTGTCCTAGAACACACCCAAGCATTTCCATTTGTCTTGGTCAGAGAAGAAGGGAGATTACAGAAAAGATGACAATATACAGACAGTATGACCACCAGCAGCCAGTAGAACCAAGCTAGCACATGTCCTGCTCCTGCTCAAATGCAAGCACAACCAACCCTGGCAGCTTCACTGCTGTTTGCCTCACAGAATCTCTTTCAGACAGTTTTCTCTAACAGAAGAGAAAGAAAACCAACTGTTTCAAGCAAGCCTAGTCACTTGCTTGACAACAGCAGAGCAAGATACCATGTGAATTTTTCATTGTGGCAGTGCGGTGAAGTTCCCACAACTGAAAAAGGCAAAATGTAGCCTTCATTTTGAAAAAGGGAAAAAAAGACCCGGGGAACTACAGGCCAGTCAGTCTCACCTTTGTGCCCAGCAAGATAATGGAACAGATCCTCCTGGAAACTACGCTAAAGCACATGGAAAATAAGGAGGTGATTTGTGACAGCCAACATGGCTTCACTAAGGGCAAATCGTGCCTGAAAAAATTTAGTGGCCTGCTGTGATGGGGTTACTGCTCTGGTGGATAAGGGAAGAGCAACTGACATCATCTACCTGGACTTGTCCAAAGTGTTTGACACTGTCCTGCTCCTTGTCTCTAAATTGGAGACACACAGATTTGATGGATGAACCACTGGGTCGATAAGGAATTGGCTGGATAGTCAAACTCAAAGTGTTGCAGTCAACGGCTCAATGTCCAAGTGGAGACCAGAAACAAGTGGTGTTCCTCAGGGGTGGTATTGAGGACGGTGCAGTTTAACATCTTTGTCAGCGACATAGACGGGGATCGAGTGCAGCCTCATCAAGTTTGCTGACAACACCAAGTTGCGTAGTGTGGTCAACATGCTGGAAGGAAGGGATTCTTCACTCTGAAGACAGGCTGAGAGAGTTGGGGTTATTCAGCCTGGAGAAGAGAAGGCTCCGGAGAGACCTTCTAGCAGCCTTCCAGTATCTAAAGGAGGCCTACAAGAAAGCTGGAGAGGGACTTTTTACAAGGGCATATAGTGATAGGACAAGGGGTAATGACTTTAAACTGAAAGAGGGCAGATTTAGATTAGGTATAAGGAAGAAATTCTTCACTCTGAGGGTGGTGAGGCACTGGAACAGGTTGCTCAGAGAAGCTGTGGATGCCCCATCCCTGGAAGTGTTCAAGGCCAGGTTGGATGAGGCTTTGGGCACCCTCATTAGTGGAAGGTGTCTCTGCCCATGCCAGGGGAGTTAGAACTAGATGATCTTTAAGGTCCCTTCCAACTCAAACCATTCTATGATTCTATGATTCAGAAAATACAAAGATTGTCACAAAATTTCTAATTGTGTTCACCAATTATGACAAGTGAGCTCCTCGCAGCTGAGGACCCCTTCTACCCTCTTCCACTCCTTCTTCAAGGAATATGATGGACTTCTAGAGCAGTCCCCTCCTGGCTCTCACACTGCAGAATTTCAGCACCAGCCAAGCCTGCAGGTGGTTTACAGAGGAGTGGCATGCTTTTTTACTGCAGTACCAAAACCACGTTACATTTGTGTGGCTTTTGTCTCATGGTCAACTGTTACTGTTATTACACTTCCCATCAACAGGTCTCTTTGGCCTAGATAATCTTCCACTTCCAAGTTAGCCTGAGCCCCAAAACCAGTTTCCTTGCTCCTAACCATGAATGGTTAAGGCTTACTTCTGCTTTAAGGCAAATCCTTCAACCATTTGCACACTTTAACTTGGCTATTCCATATAGGCACATTACTACTGTGAGTACTTCTGCTGAGATAAAGCTGTTGACTTGTAGTCAATCTTTCATGACACACAAGTCACGGTCTAGTTTTCACCACAAAAATTCTCCTTTATGTTCTTATTTGTATTTTTAAGTATTTTAGACAAAAGCAGTATGCAACATTTTCTAATACCTTTAACGAATTTCCAGTGTGAAGAAGCTTCTTTAAAATCAACCCTAAAAAGAAGGGGAAAAAAATAATTTTTGTTGGTTTGTTCTTTCTTTATTAAGTAAGATGTCAGAGTTCTCGGTCAGACTTGATAGTAACTTTTAAACAAGTCCTTGGCAATCTCCAATTTAATCTTGGTGAACTTGATATCCTCAGGCAACATTCTCAATGCCAGAAGGAAAAAAAGATCACCTTTCATAGCTTCCTCATAACCCGTAACATCTTTTCCTAATATCTTTTTGGGATGTGTATATTAAAAGTAAACGATTCTCAAGTCATTAATGTGCATAATATCAGCACTCCCCATTTAGAAACACACACCTCACCCCAATTTTTAACCTCATTACTAAGACAAAAAAACGTGAAAAAAAAAATTCAAAAGCAACCTTCCACCTGCCTTTGTTCTTTCTCAGTCACTGGTCTACTTCCAGATTCCCACCTTTAATTCTATCTAGAAGAGCATCTCATTACATTGGTGAGGGTTTTTGTTTGGTTGCGTTTGTGTTTTTTTTTTCTCTCTCTAGCTTGCAAGAGTTTCAAGACCATAATCTGTGTTATGTTACTTAAAGGTTAAGGAAACGAGATGCACAAACTACTAATAGCTACTAATAAAAAATAAGATTTAAAAAAAAAAAAAAGAAAGAAAGAGAGAAAGAAAGAAAAAGAAAGAAAGAAAGAAAGAAAATGAACTTACCAATACTATGAAATTGCCATCTCTGATGAATCCTTTCTGGAAGGAGTTGCAAGATTTTCTACAAAAAAACAGAACCCAAGGATCTATTGCAGGTATCGCACTCGGAAGACCAAAGAGCGCTTTCACAAAGGCCACAGCTAAAAGCTGAAGGGTTAACTTAGAAAATTTCCACACCCTTTCCTTGGAAGCATTACTGTCCTTTCAAGAACATCCCATTTCTAAAGCTAAGAAGCCCAAAGGCTCTGACAGACTGTCTGGATACTTCAGACATTACTGCAGTTTATCTGGCTCCACTGCTTCTTTGCTGGATATCACTGCTTATAGCATAGGAAGTGGAAAGGGATGAATATCTGTCTCAGTTGCTCTGTATATACAACAGGCTGTATTAGGTTAATTCCACCTTTATAGTGGGTTAAGCTAGGATGCTCAGGTGTTAACCTGCCTCTGTGGCACAGGCAAACAATTGTTTCAGCCTTCTCAACAGAGCGGTAATGAGCTACAGCAAAACAATGAAGAAAAGAGCCATGGCAATAATGGTCCAACATGTCTCCAGCTAGACTGAAGGAAGATCATCTTCAGATGGTAAAAAGCAGAGCATAGTTAGTGACAAAGGCAGTTAAAAAAATCTGTTATGTAGCACTTCAACATTATGCTAGAGGTATTAGCAACTGGTAAACAATCTGATTTCCCAAAAGAATTCCTGATCCTGGTCCTCTAGAAGCCTGTGAAATTGCTTCCAAAACACAGGTCATCAATACTATAGCCCTCTATGCAGGAACCAGTGAACAAATAAACCATCTCTCTTCAGATTCACTCTTCTTGTAACAGCTAATCCTACAGTTTTAAGCACAAATGTACCTTAAAAAATTTTTTTAAAAAACTTGATTTTGCACTCAATTTTACATGTTTTTAAAAAACACAATCCTTGTTCTATAATTAGAAGCCTCCATCAAAAAGGAAAGACAAAAACTTGACATTGTAAGCTCAGAAAAAGATCTCATTTAATTAAATTAGTTTCTAATTCAAGATATGCTTTTGGTAACCATATTACAAAATGCTATTTACAAACGATAAATCCTTTCAAAATTAAGAGAGATCTATAAAAACTAATTCTGCAGCAGTAATCTACTATGAGAAAAATTACTGTTTAATATCTTCATCAATGACATGGACAGTGGGATCAGGTGCACCCTCAGCAAGTCTGCAGAAGACACCAACCTGAGTGGTGTGGTTGACAGGCCTGAGGGACAGGATGCCATCCAGAGGGACCTGGACAAGCTCAAGAAGCGGGCCCACGTGAACTTTATGAAATTCAACAAGGCCAAGTGCAAGGTCCTGCCCATGGGTCAGGGCAATCTCACACACAAAGACAGGCTGGGGGATGAAGGGATTGATAGCAGCCCTGTGGAGAAGGACCGGTGGAGGAAAAGTTGGACACGAGCTGACAATGCGCACTTGCAGCCCAGAAAGCCAATCATATCCTGAGCTGCATCCAAAGAAGTGTGGCCAGCAGGTCGAGGGAGGTGATTCTGCCCCTCTACTCTGCTCTGCTCTCGTGAGGCCCCACCTGCAGTACTGCATTCAGCTCTGGAGTCCTCAGCACAGGAAAGACATGGACCTGTTGGACTGGGTCCAGAGGAGGGCCACAAAATGATCAGAGGGATGGAATATCTCTCCTATGAAGAAAGGCTGAGAAAGTTGGAATTGTTCAGGCTGGAGAAGAGAAGGCTGCAGGGAGACCTTATTGCAGCCTTTCAATACTTAAAGAGGGCCTACAAGAAAGATGGGGAAAAATTTTTAGTAGGGCCTGTTGCAACAGGACAATGGGTAATGGTTTTAAACTAAAATAGGGTAGATTAGACTAGATTTAAGGAAGAAATTTTTTACAATAAGGTTGGTGAAACACTAGAACAGGTTGCCCGGAGAGGTGGTGGATGCCCCAACCCTGGAAACATTCAGGGTCAGGCTGGACGGGGCTCTGGGCAATCTGATCTAGTTGAAGATGTCCTTACTCATTGCAGGGGAAGCTGGCCTAGACGACCTTTAAAGGTCCCTTCCAACCCTATTCTCTGATAATATGCAACCAAAAGGTCAAAAAGATCACAACTAATCAGAGATTGCATTTATAAGAATTTCGAAGTGTACAATACATGGGGGGAAGGGAGGGCAGAGAACATCACCACCAAAGAGTTATGAATTATCTGCAGACACAGAAAACATCTTTTTCCAGGTAAAATGTCTTCCTGCAAAACTGCAAGTCAAATTCTTTTTCTTCTCACACAAAGCACATATATCCAACTCTAAGCAAAATAAAAAGGAATGCAGTTAAGTGTAAAGCATATTTTCAGGCAACTGCAGGATAGCTGTACTATTATTATTCAACAGGACTTAATTCAAAGTAAAACACTCATACGGGAATATTCAAGTTACCTTACCTCAAAAATAAAAAGAATAGAATCTAATTCTTCTCTCTGAGACTTGTGACCTAGATGCAATTAAAAATAAATAGAAGATACACTTTCATTATCAAAACAAAATGTAAAGAACACTGACAGAGAACCTTAGATGAGTAAAACAAAAACATGCATTTCTACAACCACAAGAATTATTCTGCATTCCTTTTGTAAATAAATGAAGTATATTTCCTAGTTATGGTTTATAATAGTTATAGTTTGTATAACTTTCCATTATGGCATCAACAGCTGGTAGAGATTAAGTTACACATTATCTTGTTAAACAAAACTTAGAATCAGAACACAAAAAGTGTACATCTTAAAAATCCTCATATTGCAAAGAGGCAAAATCGGCCATCAGAGAATAAACTCTCCTTGCTCACCTCCAAGGCATGCATCTCAAATTGCTCTGCCTTTATTTGCAAAGTTCATGTTTGCACATATTTCTACATGTCTAACATTGTCATACGTGACCACGGACACCGTGCTTTATTTACAACACCCTGCTTTATTTTATAACGAACACAGAAGCACGAAGACAGAAAAAGTGTTCTATTTGAAATACTTACCTTTTTGTTTAAGACCTACTTCAATAGTCACAAAGTTTTCAAAGAACACATAATATATATGTGAGAAATGTAGGTCGAAAAACTGTTTGAGATCAATAGATTCAGGATTCTCTGAAAAACAAAACAGAACACTGGTTTTAGTTCTTCCAAATATTCCAAGTCAACCACTGCATACCATTATCCAGTAGTAAGAACTGAAGATATTTAAAAGAAAAATTATTACTGGTAAAGAAGTTCTTGAAGTTTTCATTCTTTCAAATTGAAGCTAAAGAAATTCCATATGGCACGCCATAAGTACCCATGGAATTTTAAAATAGGAAGCAGTGTCTTCTGGCATGACAGTACTGCCTGCAAATCCCACTGATGAACCAGAATTCTACAAGGACACTGTACAAATGAATGCTGGTTTAATTGCTAGTTTAACAGAAATAAAGCTTACAACCCTGCCCAAACTCCATGACAGAAAGACCATCAGTGTCCTCTACTGTCATTACTAGACAGAACTAAGCTTTCTTAAGAAAGTAGAGAAGGATGATAAATGAGGACCACCTCTGCTCTGTAGAGAAACGGGTTGGGAGAAAGCAAGCAGCAGCACTAGATTCCCACTGTTGCTTTCTTGCTCCCTCCAAGCTCCGAAATGCACTTTCCTTTCCAGTCTAGCCCAGTCCACCATACTCCTTTGATTGTGTGGTCTCAGGAGATCAGAAGCTGGGACCTCAGGGGTGCCCTGAGGTAGAAACATCATCATGAGTGTAGAGAGCCTGTGCTTTCTTGTGCACCCCAGGAAGGTTTCCAGACTCTCTTCCCACAACCCCCTAGATGGTTTTCTGCAAATTCCTAGTTAAAGAAATACATGATGATTTATCTAGATTAATTTTAAACTGGCCATTTAAACAATCGATTGTTTCAAGCCTTAGTACACACTGAACCAAAAGGCACTTCTTGTCCTGTTATTTTAGACTAGAGAAACTAGGTGACCAGAACAATAGTATGGAAGCACAGAGGAACAGGGAGACGGTATTTTACAGGGCAAAACTCTCCCCTTTCAGAATAACCATGTAAAACAAACAAACAACAACAACAACAAAAAAAAAAACACCACAAAGAGAGGTGAAGCAAACAAAACTTTTATATCCTTCATCAGCTCTGCATGCTGAGGCATCATCTTTCACTGTTGATAGGTCTTTTGTAAGTCCCTTTCTAATTCTTCATTGTATCATAGTTTTTTAACCCTTTTTAGAATGACATCAATCTTTATCATCTTACACGACTGGATATACAACTGGTAGATTATAAAGCACATAAAAAATAAATCAATTGAAAGGATGGCCAAAAGCATGGTACACTTTCAATTCTAGTTTATTTTGTAGTTCTACAGGTCTGCCAACTCAATTTTATCACAAATCTTTCTATAAAGTTTCCAATACACGTTCAATTTTCACAGTACCACAGCATTCTGCCAACGCCTTGTATAATCAGTGTGGCAGAGCCAGAGTGCTCTTGGAAAAGACAGTGCTACATTAGCAGCTAAGAAAAACTCTTAAAGCAAGGCAGCTTAGCTGGCAATAAATTTGGTGGTGCAGAGTGGCAAGCGTGTGTCTGACCAGCTACACCATCACCTCACCTCCAGCTTTGCAGAAACTGCTACACCACTTCCAGATCAGCAGCTGAACTGCCTGAGTTTAGAGTCTGAAATATTAAAGTAAGGACAATAAAAACCAGTTCCATTTTAAACAAACCAGACCATTATTTTCAGGAGGTCAGGGCGAGTATACAAGAAACAGAGCTATGAGTAGAAGCATAGGCACAACCACTTCCATTCATGGGGCAGAACCCTAAGTGAGCTCTAGACTATGGATAAGAAAACACAGCAAGAGGTAAATCAAAAGGTTTTAAGACAGAAGGACAAAAGGGAAAAAGAAAGTAATGACTGAGACTTTCAGAGAAAGGAGAGTGGCTAGGAAACTCCCTAGCCTGATACGGCCCACAGACTACTACCCATTATTGCTCTTCCATGTGGGTGGTGATGAAGCTGAAACACGGAGTCCACGGTCGATCAACAGAGATTTCAGGGCCCTGGGAAAGCTGGTAAGAGGATCTGGGGCACAGGTAATCTTTTCTTCTATCTTTCCAGTTGCAAGCAGTGACACTGGAAGAAGCAAATGCATCCAACCGATTAATATGTGGCTCCGTGGCTGGTGTCATGGCCACAACTGCGGCTTTTTTGACAATCGCATGAGCCACATGGCACCAGGCCTACTGGCACCAGATAACGCCTTGCCTTTCTCAGAGGAGAACGAGGGTCTTTGCACAACAGCTAGCGGGGCTCACTCACAGGGCTTTAAACTAGATTCGAAAGGGGAGGGGGATAATACCAAACTCGATAAAGATATGCTGGAAGCACCTGAAGAGCAGCAGAAAGGAATTCCAGCCAGGAAGTCAGATTAATCTGTGGTCCAACTTAAATGCCTCTATGTTAATGCGCGCAGCATGGGGAACAAGCAAGAGGAGTTAGAGGTGCATGCACGCCTGCAGGAATATGATTTTATTGGCATCATGGAGACGTGGTGGGATGAATCCTTTGACTGGAGTGTCAGAATGGAAGGATACAAGAAGGGTACAGGCTCTTTAGGAAGGATAGGCAGGGGAGAAGAGGAGGAGGGGTTGCCCTCTATGTCAAAGACCAGCTGGAGTGCATGGAGCTAAACCCGGGGACTGATGAAGAGCCAACTGAGAACTTATGGGTTAGGATTAAAGAGAGGGCAGGGAGAGGGGACATAGTAGTGGGAGTCTGCTACAGGCCACCTGACCAGGAGGACCGAGTGGATGAGGCCCTCTACAGACAGATAGGAGCAGCCTCATGTTCACTAGCCCTGGTCCTCATGGGGGACGTCAACCATCCCAATATCTGTTGGAGGGACAACACAGCAGGGCATAGGCAATCCAGGAGGTTTCTGGAATGCATGGATGACAACTTCCTTCTCCAAGTGGTAGAAGAACCAACGAGGAGAGGTGCTTTGCTGGACCTTGTTCTCACCAACAGAGAAGGGCTGATGGGGAATGTGACGCTCAAGGACAGCCTTGGCTGCAGTGACCATGAAATGGTGGAGTTCAAGATTCTTAGGGAGGCAAAGAGGGTGCTCAGCAAGCTCACTACCCTGGATTTCAGGAGGAGCAGACTTCGGCTTCTTCAGGGATCTCCTCAGTAGAGTACAATCGGATGAAGTCCTGGAGCGAAGAGGGGCCCAAGAAAGCTGGTTAATATTCAAGGATCACCTCCTCCAAGCTCAGGAGCAGTGCATCCCAACAAAGAGGAAGTCAGGTAGAAACACTAGGAGGCCTGCATGGATGAACAAGAAGCTCCTGGACCAATGTGGACATAAAAAGGCAGTCTATAGAGGATAGAAGCAAGGACAGGTAGCCTGGGAGGAATACAGTGAAATTGTCTGAGCAACCAGAGATCAGGTTAGGAAAGCCAAAGCCCTGACAGAGTTAAATCTGGCCAGGGACATCAAGGGAAACAAGAAAAACTTCTATAGATATGTCAGTGATAAAAAAAGATCTAGGGAACATGCAGGCCCTCTCCGGAAGGAAATGGGGGACCTGGCTACCCGGGATATGGAGGAGGCTGAGGTCCTCAATGACTTCTTTGCCCAGTCTTCACTTGCAAGAGCTCCAGCTGCACAGCCCAAGTCACAGAAGGCAAAGGCAGGGACTGGGAGAATGAAGAACGGCCCACTGTTGGAGAAGATCAGGTTCAAGACCATCTAAAGAACCTGAAGGTGGACAAGTCCATGGGACCTGATGAGATGCATCCGTGGGTCCTGAGGGAACTGGCAGATGAAGCTGCTAAGCCGCTATCCATAATATTTGAGAAGTCATGGTGAAGTTCCAACTGACTGGAAAAGGGGAAACATAGAAACATCTTTAAAAAGGGGAAAAAAAAAGACGACCCAGGGAACTACAGGCCAGTCAGTCTCATCTCTGTGCCCAGCAAGATCATGGAGCAGATCCTCCTGGTGACTATGCTAAGGCACACAGAAACTAAGGAGGTGACTGGTGACAGCCAACATGGCATCACTTAGGGCAAATCCTGCCTGACTAATTTGGTGGCCTTCTATGATGAGATTACAGCATTGATGGATAGGGGAAGAGCAACTGACATCGTCTACCTGGACTTATCCAAAGCGTTTGACACTGTCCCACATGACATCCTTGTATCTAAACTGGAGAGACACAGATTTGACAGATAGATCACTCAGTAGATAAGGAATTAGCTGGATGGTCGCACTCAAAGAGTTGTGGTGAACGGATCAATGTCCAAGTGGAGGCCTGTGATGAGTGGTGTTCCTCAGGGGTCGGTACTGGGACCAGTACTATTTAACATCTTTGTTGGAGACATGGACAGTGGGATTGAGTGCACCCTCAGCAAGTTTGCAGATGACACCAAGTTGTGTGGTGTAGTGGACATGCTGGAGGGAAGGGATGCCATCCAGAGGGACCTTGACAGGCTGGAGAGGTGGGCCTGTGAGAACCTCATGAAGATCAATAAGACCAAGTGCAAGGTTCTGCCCATGGGTCAGGGCAATCCCAAGCACAAGTACAGGCTGGGCAGGGAACGGATTGAGAGCAGCCCTGAGGAAAAGGACTTGGGAGTTCTGGTGGATGTGAAGCTCAACATGAGCTGGCAATGTGCACTGGCAGCCCAGAAAGCCAACCGTATCCTGGGCTGCATCAAAAGAAACGTGGCCAGCAGCTCAAGAGAGAGGATTCTGCCCCTCTACTCTGCTCTTGTGAGCCCCCACCTGGAGTACTGCCTTTAGCTCTGGAGTCCCCAACACAAGAAGGACATGGACCTGCTGAAGCGAGTCCAGTGGAGGGCGAAGATGATCCGAGGGCTAGAGCATCTCTCCTATGAAGACAGGCTGAGAGTTGGGGCTGTTCAGCCCGGAGAAGAGAATGCTCCGGGGAGACCTTCTAGCAGTCTTCCAGTACTTAAAGGGGGCCTACAGGAAAGCTGGAGAGGGACTTTTTACAAGGGCGTGTAGTGACAGGACAAGGGGCAATGGATTTAAACTGAAAGAGAGTAGATTTAGATTAGATATAAGGAA